TTTTTTTTTTTTTTTTTTTTTTTTTCTCCGAATAAACAAATAATCGGTTAAATTAGAGGGTCTCCTCTCTTCAACTTTCAGCCTCCCGGTTCCTTTGTTTATTCCATGATATATATTTTTCTAAAAAATAAAATAATAATAAATATTTGGATTTGTAAGGATTTTTTTTCTTTATAAAATTAAACTAACGGATGGATATTCTTTTTAAGGAAAAAAAAAGTTAGGATTTAATGTCCAGATAATTACAGCCATAAACCTATTAACCTAATCAACTCTATGCACAGTCTTATTATATTTAATTATTTTATTTAAAAATAATTATATTAACATCGTGCTCTAAACCACAATTTACTAAAAAAAAATGTAAATGAAACATTAAATCAATTTTGAATATTAAAAACATGTTTGGAAATAATTTTAAACAAAAAAAAAAAAAAAAATCTAAGAATTTTATGTCCCAAATAATTTCAAAGAACAAATTACAGGTTGGTGACCAATCAACTATGCTCATGGTCATGGTGGTTGAAATCTTTTTTCTTTTCAATATGAAACAAAATGGCTGCTAAAATGAAATAATAATAATAATAAAAAGAACACGTACTTTGGAGATTCAAAGTCTATTAATGTTAACAAACTAAAAGATTTTTTTATTTTTCATTATTTTTTTTATTTACAACTAGTAGAATATGCAATGTTAACTCATCTTACTACTCAAGAAAATAAGAGAAAACAGAATCGTAAAACAAGGAACAAGTATGAAGCCACTTGAACTACACTCTAATTCCGAGGAGAAAATAAAACTATTTTTGAATACATATTGCCATTATTCATATTCATTTTTGGTATACAATACTGGAAAAATGGGGTATACAACTTTTGATGGATAACTCAACACACCCAACTACCAAATCCTTGTTTTACCTCACATGAATTTTTTCTCAACAAGAAGCTTCAATTCCTCCAGTTTAACGATGACCTCAGGATTCATAAGGTCTCTGGCTTCCTTTACGAGGGTGCCTTCCCGACTAAAATGATAAGCATCCAGCACTGTCCTTATCCACGTGTGAAGCTTCTCTGGGGTCCTAAAAGTGTTCAAAAACAAGAATAAGAAACCCAGTAAATTCAATACTAGGCCTCAAATGACACTGCGTAAATGTAAAGTCAAGGTGGTACATCCATATTCTTAACTAGATGGACATAGATGGATCGAGAGATCGACAGAGACGGCCCTAAGACTTTCTTTCTTTCCTTTTTGATGAGAATGAATGGCGACAATGAATGTAACTCGCACGAATAATAAGTTAGGTTATATTCTAATTCGTTGAATATTAATGATAAGGTCCAAAAGCATACGTGTATAAGCAGTCCACATCTTGTCCTTCGACTTCTTCTCCGGGGGTAAATGCATCCTTCAGAGCACTTAGCTTCTCCTCCGGATCCTTAATTGTGAGAAGGTACTTCAGAATCCTGATTTCTTTTGGCATTAATCTTTGAAGATTACCCCTTGCTGTCACGTATAAGTGGTATAGTATGTCTTTCACCTGATGAGGAGAAAATAATATCAACACTTACACCATCAAAAAGTAATTACGCAACAATAGTACATCAATCGAAGGTGCCTTCTCCATTTGCTCAAATGACCCAACATAGAAACTCATAAAATCAAGAGAAATAATTGGTATCTTTTCACTCTGGTGTCTTAAGCTGTAGTCATTGCATTCAAATAGATAACGGTATTCGTTATTGGAAGTTTCGGTAATTATGGACTTCTCACAGTCATTGGAATTTCTTGAACAGTCAGATGATGGCAACCAACAAGATTAAACAAATAAGACCATAAAGCCACATGTTCGCATCAAAGGAAAACAGCAAGGTTAGCAAATGCACTACCTCATCTTTCATCATATTCGACTCCTTTGCTGCTGACCAAGCTTTTGAAATCATCAATACTAATGCAGAATCAAGTTGGTTTTTCTCTGCCAAACTGTCTATCTTTCTACAAGCAGCATCTAAAGTAGGAGAATTGATGATATCCTGGAATTTCAACTCTGCAGCATTCAGTGCTTCAATGTTTTCAGTTGCAGCATCGTATGCTTGCACGGCAGCTAGGCAGGAATTCCCAAGCTTCGCCAAAGCTGATCAATTGAAATATGAGGGGGAAAAATATCATTTCATCCATGTCAATACGATATCTTATATATACATAAAAGAAAAGTAGGACGCTCACTAAAGAAAGAAAATAGCATTCATAAACTTTAAAATAAAAAAGAGACCCCCATAAAGTTTCCTTGGTTGGAAAGGAAACAAAAAAAAAAAAAAAAAAGACTGTGCTAATGAGGACACTATACTCAAGACTTGCTTCAGAGAGATATTTGCTTCCTAAATTATACTTCTCAGCCACTTAGGAAGCCATTTATTCGCTACCAAACTTGAAAAGTGTATGCAGTATTAGTATTACCATTTTGCTCGGCCGGATCAGCATAATAAGATTCAGCCACCGTGTGAAGATGCACAAAGAATTCTTTTGTAAAATCTTTACGACGCCTAGAAATAATTTCACCAAGTTCTGATGGTCCTGCTGCTCTGACCGCTTCAAGAAGTTCATTATGTCTCTGCACATCTTCATCAATCTGTGAAAGTTTTAAAGAATAAAGGGAAAAAAACAGATTGATTAATGACACACTGCAGCTGTGTGATTAATAAAACAATCACGTTATCATCAACAATTCATCTTAATTCTTCCTTGACCAGCACACCAACAGATCCTCTGTGCCTTTTACAGCAACAGAACTGATGACTAACCTCATTTGCAAACAAAGTGTTAGTTTCTACTCTTCCTATTTGCAGAACAAATTATTTTATAGAAACAAGGTCTGCCGTTATCAGGTTCAATTTTTTACCATGTTTTCTCTTTAATCCTAAACATACCTCTTTCAGCTTTCTTCCAAGCCGGAGTAGCTTATGCCTCATACCAGGATCATCCTCAGAGGCAGCTCGATCTTGGCACCTCCTAAAGAAATGGGGCCGGATATTGTCCCAAGTCTTACTGAAAGCAATTAACCGTCTCCAATCTGTTGGAGTTGGCTTGTCGATCAGGAAGACTTCAATAAGCTTGTCGCACACTTTGGTCATTTTATGCTGATCCAAGCATTCAACGTCATTTTTTGCATTTTGAACATCTCTTACTGAATCATCAGGAGTGGTATTCGAAGAATCAAGAGTATCTGTACTGCAATGACTAGGTTCTTCACTCCCACCTCTGACAACGGCAGAAGATGATGATTTCTTCAGTCTAACTCGCCACGTCAGTGAAGGGAACCCTGCTATTCAACAGAATTACTGATACTTAACTGTATGCTAATGAACAACGAACTTCGAAGATAAACTTGCAAAATAAAAAGTTCCTAAAATTTCAACCAATACATACTAATATCACTTTGTGACTGGTAAGCTAACTCAATACAAAGCTTGAAACACAAACGATCAGGAATCAATAACTTGAACAACAGATATTCGGCATCTAATAGCTATAGGCACGAATACATATATTTATGGCTGAATTTCCACGTCTCGGTTCTCCGTTCAATTAATTCTTAAGAACCATATATCTAAGTCTTCAATAGTTGAGAGATATAATGAACAGCATGCGATAAGTGCACATAATCAAAATCTCTATCCTTTTCCTCGACGCTCCCCTTTTTAACAACCGACTGAAATTGAAAGAATTGAGCAATAATCTGAAGTATACAGAGTTATCAATCTCATGATTTAGTCTTCGCGACACATCGGAAACTTATCGAAGTTCAGAGTTAGTCACCTTACCTCTACCTTTTGAACCCAAGGAGAAGCTCCGAGCTGTAATTCTGGAAACCGAGGACGAGGAGGAAGAGCAGGTGGCGGAGGCGTCTCCACGAGGAAGAGTTTTGCCTCTGATAGAGAAAGAGAATGAGGCCTGAAGAGTTGCGCAATGGAGCTCCATTCTCGAACGTGGATGCAGAACCTTTGTTAGGGTTTAAAAGGGTAAACTGCATATCTTAGGAGGGTTAGAATTATAATAAATTGAAAGAAAAACATTTACTTTTTTATAATTTAATAATTAAATAATTAAATTTAAGCAACCTCCTTATAATTTTTATTCTTAATTTATTTTTTCTGAATAAAGAAAAGATAAATTAAACTCTATGTTTGAAATATCCAAGGGCAGTTACCAATTTTGCCCCTGAGTCCCAATGAGGGAAGTCCAACCGACCAACGGTTCTGCTTCAAATTATCCAGTTAAAGTCTTGACATTCTTATTTTTCGAGGTTTAGGGTTCAGGCCGAACATTGTGGCCGTGGCGGGAAGTTCAAACAACTTTCCGGCTATGCTCTCGCCGGCGTTCATCTCAACGGCCACCATTTCTCAGTCACCGCCTTGTTTCTCTGTTCAACCACCGCCAATATCACTATCCACACGGCGTGCCTGTTCCAAATGGAACCTCACTAGTATCGACCGTTGTAAAAGCCCCACAAATTTGCGGTTCAACTTTATCAAAGACCCGTTCAGGGCTTCGCTGGTCGCCTGCACAACGGAAACATGTACTGCTCAAGAATGCACCGATGTCGAATCTTGCAGCAATGAGCCGGTGAATGGATGCTTGAGTCCCTATTTGATTGCCGCTTGGCTTCGTTCAAGTCGCGGCGTAAAGGAATTGAGGGCGATACATGCGTTCATTTTGCGACATTTTTCAAGTTTGGTGACTTATGTTGGGAATAATTTGATTAGTTCTTACTTGAGATTCGGAATGTTGATTGATGCTAGAAGGGTGTTCGATGAAATGCCAATGAGGAGTGTTGTGACCTGGACGGCTATTATTAATGGATATATTGATTTTGATTTGACTGATGAAGCTTTAGGATTGTTCGGTGATTCGGTCAGGAGCGGGGTGCGAGCGAATGGGAAGATGTTTGTTTGTATCTTGAACTTGTGTGCTAAAAGGTTGGATTTTGAGCTTGGGAGGCAAATCCATGGCGCCATTGTGAAAGGTAATTGGGGGAATTTGATTGTTGATAGTGCCATTGTTTACTTTTATGCACAATGTAAAGATATTTCCAGTGCATTTGTTGCATTTGAACATATGCCAAAGCGGGATATTGTTTGTTGGACTTCCATGATTACTTCTTGTTCCCAGCAAGGGCTTGGACGAGAGGCAATTTCAATGTTTTCTAATATGCTAAGCGATGGATTTCTACCAAATGAGTTTTCTGTATGTAGTGTTCTTAAGGCTTGTGGAGAAGAGAGGGAGTTGAAGATTGGGAAACAGTTACATGGTTTGGTAATTAAGAAAATAATCAAGAATGATGTTTTTGTTGGGTCTTCCTTGGTTGATATGTATGCCAAGAGCGGGAGTTTGGCGGATTCTAGAGAAGTATTCGACGAAATGAGGAATAGAAACACGGTTACGTGGACATCAATCATAGCTGGTTACGCACGGGAGGGGCTCGGTGAGGAGGCTGTTAACCTCTTTAGGTTGATGAATAAGCAGAGGGTTCCTGCCAATGACTTGACCATTGTAAGCATTCTCCGTGCTTGTGGCTCGATCGGGGCTTCGTTGACTGGGAGGGAAGTTCATGCCCAGATTGTAAAAAACTCATTTCAGACTAATCTACACATAGGAAGCACTCTAGTCTGGTTCTACTGTAAATGTAGGAATCAACCTAAGGCCTCCATGGTTCTTCAGCAGATGCCTCTTAGAGATGTGGTCTCCTGGACGGCCATCATTTCTGGATGTGCTCATCTTGGGCACGAGTCCGAGGCTCTCGAGTTTCTAGAAAACATGATAGAGGAAGGAGTTGAACCAAATTCGTTTACCTATTCATCGGCTTTAAAAGCGTGTGCCAAGATGGAAGCCATCCTCCAGGGGAGATTGATCCACTCGTCTGCAAATAAAACATCTGCAGTGTCCAACGTTTTTGTGGGAAGTGCACTGATCTACATGTATGCAAAATGTGGGTACGTAACCGAAGCTTCTCAAGTTTTCGACAGCATGCCGGAGAGGAATTTGGTTTCGTGGAAGGCCATGATCTTGTGTTATGCTCGGAACGGTCTGTGCCGAGAAGCGTTAAAGCTCATGTATCGAATGCAGGCTGAAGGTATTGAAGTGGATGACCACATTTTTGGAACAGTTTATGGAGTTTGTGGAGACGTGAAGTGTGAGGTAGATTCATCTCTTGAATACAGCTTGCAAACTCAATGATCTTCCCAGTTTGAATGGTGATGTAGATCGAAATTCATGCTATAATATGGTTCTCGACCCATCTCAAAGAGCCTTGCACAAAGTTCATCCGCTGTTTTGATCTGAAGAAGCACTTTCCCGTGCTCTTCTGTCACTCCAAAAATCAAAGTTTGTGCAGATGGGAGAACGCCTGAGCTGTTTATCGGCTCTGTGTAGTGCAGCATGTATTTTACAACCCAGGTCTAAGTTAATTGAAGAAATAAAAGAAACATCCAATGTAATCTTTGTAAATCTATACCTATCCCGGCGCAACCACTCTGTGATCTGATTTGTAACCGCTCAAGCCCATCGTTAATAGATATTATTCGCTTTGCTCCGTTACGTATTGTCGTTAGTTTCGCGGTTTTAAAACGCATCTTTTAGGAAGAGGTTTTCATGTTTTTATAAGAAATGTTTTGTTTCCCTCTCCAACCAACGTGAGATCGCACAATTCCCCTCTATTGAGGGCCAGCTTACTAGCTAGCACATTGTCTCTAATACTATTTGTAATAGTCTAAGCTCGTTATATATTGCTGTCAAATCTTACGGTTTTAAAATGCGTATATTAGAGAGAGGTTTCTATACTAGAAATATTTCGTTCTTCTCTCTAATAGTGAACACACACCAATACGTGGAGCGGTACAATTGTGAATATATATATGTATTGACCTGTTGGACAACGATGGATGGAACTTTTTTACCTCTATTTTGATTTTTTTGATTTTTTTATTTTTTATTCATTTTTTTATTTTTTTTGTCTGTCTGTCTGTGGGCTCTTTCTCAAACACATTAATAATAACAACAAAAATAATAATAGGAAAAAGGGAAAAGGCATGGCGGGCGGGCGGGCGGGCGGGCGGGCAGGGTCAAAATGAAAACCCGTTTGTTGTCTGTTTTTTTTTTTCTTTTTTTTCTATTTTCAGGCCACGGACTTCCCGCTTCTCTCCGGCTTTCTTTTTTTTCTTTTCGCTTTCTTTCTTGCGAACTCCTCCGGCGGTTTCTATTGAACTACGAAGGGCGAATAAAAATGTCTAAAGAAACTTTTGTCACGATTAATTCCTACCCCTAACCATCAATCCTCTACATTTCGATCCGTTTCTTCTTAATTGTACCATGTTTCTGCAGTTTCTTCTCAATTCGAGTGCCTTTAGATCCTCCAAGGTTGTTCGTCACTCCGTTCTCGTCAAGAACGATCCATTTCTGGATGCTGGATTCTGGATTCGTTTTTGCCATCCCAGACGGTGCTATAGTGTTCCGAATTCTCATCCTCATCAATCGTGTACGCAGTTTCTTCTTCTTTCTGTTTTATCTCTATTGATGCCTGTTTTGATGGTTTTGGAAATCGACGATTATATTTATTTATTGTCATGTTTGAATTCGGAGGTGGAAGATTTGTGGAGATGGAAGTGGGCGAGTTTGATATTTTGTTATGTGTGAGAGTGATGACGGTAGTGAGAGGAATTCACTTGACTAACCCGCATTTTTACGCCAAGGCGTTGATGGTTCTGTTGTTTATGACGTTCAGAAGTTTTGTTTCTGTACTCTGCACTGAGTTTAAATTTATAGGAATGCTCTTTGTTGGACTTGCACAGATTTCTTCACCCCAAAAATATGGTTGGGTAATTTCTATTTTTTATTTTATTTTGCATCGTGTCAACCGTTTTGCAGGCTCTTGAATGCTCAATTTGAAAGGGACGACTTAAAACTGTAAGGAAGAGATGGCAACCTCACCGACCGCTGAAAGGGATGAGGAACATGGCCTATCTGAACAGAAAGATGGAGGAGAGTCTACAGTGGAGATTGAACAGTCTTCGTCAGTTAGCGAAGATAGCCCCACACAAACAAAGGACAAGGGACTCGATGAAATAGAAAAGGATCAGAACAACGATTCATACTGTGAGACTCAAGATGAAATAGAAAAGGATAACAACGACGATTCATACTGTGAGGCTCAAGATGAAATCGAAAAGAATAAGAACAATGATTCAGACTGTGAGTCTCAAGATGAAATACAAAAGAATAAGAAAAACGATTCGGACGGTGAGGCTCAAGATGAAATAGACAAGGATAAGAACAACGACTCAAACTGTGAGGCTCAAGATGAAATAGAAAAGAATAAGAACAACGATTCAACCTGTGAATCTCAAGATGAAATAGAAAAGAATACGAACAATGATTCAAACTGTGGGGCTCAAGATGAAATAGAAAGCAATAAGAACAACGATTCCTGTGAGACTCGAGATGAAATGGAAAAGAATAAGAACAACGATTCAAACTGTGAGACTCAAGATGAAATAGTGGAGAGGGAGTACGTCGAAAGTGAAGTGCATGACGAGGTGGAAGCCGAACTGGATTTCCAGTCTAAATCTGAAGTTGAAAAGCCAGACCAGATTATTAGAAATGACGAGTCTAATGAAAAAGTAGATGATGAGGTTAAGAATGCAGAATCTGAATCATCGTCAGATGATTCAGACAATGATGGTGAAGGTTTAGATTCTAAGGCTCAAATTGGGACAAACCAGTCAGCTGGAGAGGTTCTTAGTGAGGAGAAAGCTCCAGAGCCAGTGTTTGATGGGACTGAAGTTCCTGGGATTGAAGTTAGTGGGAGTTTGTCAAACCGTTCCATGGATAGTGATTCAGAGGTCGTAGGTGTTGTTGACCGGGCTTTGGCACTGAAAAACTTTGTTAAGGAAAAGGGAGTAATTGCAGTCTCTAGTGTTTTGCGTCGTTTTTCGGGAAGAAGAGAGGAAGGAAGTCCGGATATTCCTAATGGTGAGTCTAAGCCTGATTCTAGTTCCAATAAAGATGAAGGCAAGGAAACCCCTGAAAAACCTGTAGAAAGATCTTCTTGGAACCCCCTCAACTATATTAAGATATCCCGTGATGCTGATGCCCAAATCAAAACTGAGCAGGTGGAGGATTTTACTGGAGAACCATCATTCGATCTTGTTATAAAAGGCAGAATTGTACTGTACACGCGGTTAGGTTGTCAAGACTGCAAAGAGGCTCGACTGTTTTTGTTTTGGAAGAGGCTTAGATACGTGGAGATCAATATTGATGTTTATCCGGGTAGAAAGTTGGAGCTTGAGAAAATTGCAGGGTCTTCTGCCGTTCCAAGGGTGTTTTTTAATGAAATCCTTATTGGAGGCTTGAATGAACTAAAAGAGTTGGATGAGTCTGGCAAGTTCGACGAGAAAATTGAGTATCTGAAAAATGTACCACCATCCCTTGAAGCCCCTTTACCACCTCTCTCTGGTGAAGACGATGTCTCCAGTGGCGGGACTGTTGATGAAATGGCTATGATTGTTCGGAAAATGAAAGAATCTATTGTTGTTAAGGACCGGTTCTGCAAAATGCGACGATTCACCAGCTGTTTTCTAGGCTCTGAAGCTGTTGATTTCTTGTCAGAGGATCAATATTTGGAAAGAGACGAGGTGAGTAAGTGTTAAGTAACCGCATAGCTTTGCTCTTTGTTTTGGTGTTTTAAGTTATAGTCTTTATGTCTGTCTGCTCTCTAAATCATCCTTGAGATGACTATGATTTATTTATTTATGGGTTAAAGAATTTATTGTTTTGGTGCAACAATCAGGCTATTGAATTTGGACGAAGGCTCGCAAGCAAACTTTTTTTCCAACATGTTCAGGAGTAAGTTGGTTAGCTTTTCCGTTTAGCGTCCGGGCTGCCATCCATTTCATTTGTCATTAACAATCCTGTTTTCAGGGAAAATCTATTTGAAGATGGCAGCCACTTATACCGGTTCTTGGATGATGATCCCATTGTGGCAACTCAATGTCACAACGTTGCAAGAGGAATAATTGAGGTGAAGCCAAAGCCAATAACAGATATTGCATCAAGACTGAGATTTTTATCCTTCGCCATTTTTGAAGCCTATGTATCAGAGGATGGAAGGCATGTAGATTACAGAAGTGTTCATGGGAGTGAGGAATTTGCTAGGTCAGTTGGTTGAATAAATTGGGAAAGGAGCAGGGTCAAGTGTTTTTTTTTTTTTTCTTCTTCTTCTTCTTTTTTTGCATACAAGGAGGAATCTTTGATTTAACGGCAATATTTGACAGGTATTTGAGAATTGTGGAAGAGCTCCAAAGAGTCCATGTGCAAAATTTGTCACGGGAAGAGAAGATCGCTTTCTTTATTAATCTGCACAATATGATGGCCATCCATGCTATATTGGTATCTGGACATCCTCTTGGAGCGATAGAAAGAAGGAAACTGTTCGGAGACTTCAAATATGTTATTGGAGGGGCCACCTACTCCCTTTCAGCTATTCATAATGGAATCTTGAGGGGCAATCAGAGACCACCTTACAATCTCATGAAACCATTTGGTGCCAAAGATAAACGTTCTAAAGTGAGGCAGTCCCCTTCTTGGTCTCTACTACCAATTTTATCATCTAATTAATGGAACAAGATTGATTACATGCATGTCAATCTGATCATTCATGAAAGTCTTAGGCTGCTTGTGATGCTCGTGAATCTTTTTTAGTTAAGATTTTGAGACCACACCCTTTGTTTGCATACAAGTTTTAAATAAAGTACGGTCATCTGGTTTTTTCCTGATGGTTGATCATAAGCTCAAAGTTTGAGTTTTCACGGTCTGATTAGTAGTATTGTTCTTATTATTTTTATAGGTTTCTCTTCCGTATGTGGAGCCTTTAACTCATTTTGCACTAGTTATTGGTACCCGATCTGGGCCTGCTCTTCGATGCTATTCTCCAGGCAACATAGATCATGAGTTGATGCAAGCAGCACGAAGTTTCTTAAGAGACGGAGGACTTATCGTGGATGTGAATAACAATGTTGCATCAGTTAATATGATTCTCAAATGGTAAGATGAAAACAGTTCTTCACAAAGTTTCTGTTTTGATTTTAAACATTTATGGGTACTATAGTTTCGATCTGCCTCATTAAATTTTCATGTAGGTCCGTAGTACTTTGAGGTAGATTTGCTCCCTTTCCTTAGTTACAGTCACAATCATCATTTCATAGGGAAAATTTTGTTAATTTGTCTTGGAAGAAGCACTGTCTTGGAGATTTGTAGATTATCGTCCTGAGGCCTTAGGTCCAATCTTTTAGATGGAAATCTCTATAAAGAATACTCTTGACATATCTAGATCGGGAATTTTTTAAAGATGACTCAAAGCCCAATTTATTGTTTTCTTGCGTAGCCTGAGTTTTAAGAATCAACCATAGGTGAGTGATATCAAAGGGAATGGACAGTAATGATATTTTGTTTTAGATATTGATGAGAGCTAAACAAGTTCTTTGGCATCCC